GAGCTCAGATCAGCTCACTCCCAGTGCCAGTGCCAGTGCCAGTCCCACTCCCGGCCCCCACTCCTGATGCGCGTTTGCCGGGCCACGAGTCATGTATTTTTTATTTATTTTGATTTAAAGCGATTTTCAGCACGTCTGCCCCCAACTACTCAACCGTGTGCACCTTTCCCTGAAAAGTGTCACCCACCCAAAAAACAAAAAACAAAAAAAAGGGAATGAAAACAACGCTTAAAAATTGCCGAAAAGGGAGATGCAAAAGAATAATCAGTTGAGTACGGTCCCGGCTGTGGTCACCCCAAACTTTCACCGGAAGTTGGCCAATAAAAAAAGTAATATATACGAGTATGTATACGAAATGCCTCTGGTCTAGAAAGTGCGTTGCCTCGTTCGTTCGCGTTGTCTAATGCGATTATGGGAGGACGAGGCCGGCCGTCACTTCGCGTCATCGTTCTAGTTAAGATTCAGGGATGTGCGCGTGACTGTGGGCTTCATTCGTGCCCATTAAGCGAACGCTACAAACAAAAGTGATGTTCATTCGCAGCAAAACTAGCTCAAGAAACTTCAACAGATATACCATCACGTATACATAGCATATATACATAAATAAACGTATATTATTGGTAGAGGATTGCTGGGAGAGATCGCGACTGTATACCGATCCAGAGTTTATTTTGTTATTCGAACTTTGTTACGTAATAATGAGTGCCATCTTCGATAATCTTGTGACAAAAGAAAGAAAGACCATCTCTAATGTGCGGTTAGACGGCGGCCGGGCAGGTTTCAGCTGTCCGTTACAAAAGTTACTGCCCTGCCCCTTTTCGCCGGCTGGCACTGGCCGCCCGCCACCCGCCACCCGCCAGCTCCTCGTCGGTCCATCTCATGTGATTTCCATGCTGCTGTACAAACCAAAAACCGAAACAGAATGAAAAGAAAAAGGAAGACACCAGCGAAAGATAAAATGAGTAAAGTCCACGTCGACTTTTGTAGCTGATTATCTGGTCCGCGCTGACAGCGGCGGACTTACTGCCAGTGGCAGTGCCAGCGGTCAGGGACAGGCCGGGGCAGGAGGATGTGGCAAGTGGGAGCACAGCTCATGGCAGTGGTAGACGGCCTCAGACGGTAGCAGCAGACAGACAGACAGACAGAAAAACAAGGCCCTGAAGAAGGCAAGAGGAGGCCTAGAGGCAGGGATGAGACGTTAATATTATTATACGCTTTGTAAACAAATTATGAATTATGTTGGATAAATAGAAAAACTTAATAATAACTTGATTGCGGCATTTGGCTGTCTACGCTATTCCTCTTCCCTGCTCTTGTGCGCCCTTCCGTTCGTTTCTGGAGACAATGGGCGGCATAAGGAGAAACACTGAACGAACGTTGGCTGTGATACGCAGTTTGGTTATTTAAAAATTAGAAAATATCTTATCTTATTTGTGTATTTAAAAAGAATTAAAAAGTAAAAGTTTTATATTCGAGTAGTAAAATGAATTGGAAAAATTAAAAAATATATGTTTATATTATTTGAAACAAAAACAATTAGATATCGCACAGTGAGTACGAGTATTCAAGGCTTAGGCTATACCTATACCTATACCAATTTGGACACACACTCAGCGACAGATATTGGGTCCTGACGTTGGAATCCACTCGCCAGGCACAGCCCAATCTCAACGGTGACGCCCGTCATTGTATAGCCAAAGGCTTTCTTCAGGCATTGAAGTGCAAGTGTGACGGCGTCCTCTATGTTTAAGCCCGCTTTGTATTGATTGGCCAGGAACATGTTGCATTTATAGGCATTGATGCCTTGTGCAGCGGCCTGCAGGGGTACGCAAGCGCCCGTGGGGTTCAACTGATAGAGACAGTAGTCCTCATAGTACCAGCCACAGATCAGCAGCGACGAACCAAAGGGGCGAGCGCCTCAGGGATGGATATACTCCTGCATGAAGCTGGCAACACTCTTCAACAGCTGCGGGACTGCAATCAGCTCCTTGTGATTGTAGCCATAGTAATTCGACGTTTTTTTTGCCCTCTTCACAAGGAGGTGATAGTCGGGACCCAGTCCGGAAAACGCGGCGCCAATATGCTTGTCAATCACCCCCACAAAGTGCGGAGTGTGTTGCCTTGATGCCAACGGAGGAACTGGCGTTGGCAACCGCCCCACAAGCGCACTCCAGATGAGCCACAGCTTCCAAAGGGATGGTTGCATGGGTCAAGCTGAATTTTTTTCATTCAGGTAAGAGTTTGATATGTATTTATTCGATACTTGTTTACCCCCACAAAGCCAACTTATTAATTGATTAATAAGTAATGCAGTTTATGCCTTCCGAATTAATTATATTATTGTTCTGGAATATATTCAGTACGTAAGATGAAATCAATCTGAAATAAGAATTGTGTCTAACTATAACAAAACATTGTTAATAGGAAATGCAAAATACCTCATTTGGTACCAAAAATATGGGCAGAACATGGGCCACAATCTATACCAATATTGCATTTTTTTTGTGCTCACTCTCCACTGTCGAAGTAGATTGATCGTTGACATTATCTTCACTCTGTAATACCGTGTTCTCTTTCAGCCTTTTCTACCATTTCTCGGTAAATTTCTTTCAGTGTCTGCATTGCCTAATAGACGGCCAAAGCACTGAACCACTAATTCAAGGTGGTCCAACTTGGCAGACAGAGGGACCTCGTCCTCGCACTCTATATCTATAGATCTATATGCATTGGCAGCACGTTAATTATGGCCCAAAAATGGCCAAATTGTGCTTGTTAAATACAAAATACTTACTGAGACTGAGATAAAGCGCTACGAGAGGGTACGGACGGGAACCCTTGGGATGATTCTGCAACAAATGACACAGCAAAAAGGAGATGGAATGAGTGGGTCACACGCAAGAGCAGCGGCAGGGGAAGGGGCTTTTGGAGGGAGGCTAGAGAAAAAGTAGAAACAAATTGAAAAGTTTTCCACGATATAAATTTGCATTAATTTTCGGACGCTCTTTGGCTGCCTTGGCTTGGCCTAGCCTTAACTGAACCTCGTCTGGGGGCTGGCTCTCCAACAGAGAGAAAGAAAGTATGTATGTACCACATCTACATACATATATCCATACATACATACATACGTACATATACCTGCTATATAAAAAAGGAAAACTGAGGTCTGAATGTACTCTGTACTCGACCAGATATATATCCTAACACTAGAAGATGAAGAGTGAAAAATCATAGGAGGGTTGCGAGTGAGAGACATTTAAATTAATCGCATAGTCTGACAATATGTACTTCACTTTTGGCATATTCAATACAAATGTAAATGTTAATTCAATTGTTCAATTGGTTGGCCGTAAGTAACCCTTCAGATGTACATAGCTACCCTTGCTACCCTGCAAAAAAACAGCGAGACTAAAAATTGCTTAAATCGAAAAAGTTTTCCTCCTTTTTTGGTGGCGCTTTTTCGCTCCTGCTGTTGTTGTTTATTCGTATACCCTACCTGTGCGAGAGGAAATCCGATGGCTGAGATTTGTACTCTTGCCAAAGGCTTTGGTTTGAATTTAGTTAGAAAAGCTAAACGCTCGCTGAGGATTCTTTAAAATTTGTTCCCTCGTATAAATTGTTTTCAACAATTCAAAATATACAATACAATATATATATATATACAATATATACAATATACAACCCTGCATCGAAGAGGGTTCATCACCTGAGTCCCCATAATCCCCACCTCCTAGTAAGTGTATCCCAGCTTCGTGAGGGCCTGCTTCCAATTGGAATTTCTTATTGTTGTCCACTCGCGAGGACAGAGAAAGAGACAGCGCAGTGGCGTAGCTTCCAGTTCCAGGACTACTCTCCATGAGGAAGAGGGACCAAGGTTAAAGGAAACAAACAGCAGTTAGATGTTTGGTGGCGTCGTGAGGGGGGAAGGAGAGGTGGTACATTCGGTACAAGTAACAACACCTACAGAACACAAAGGCGATAACGAAGCTGAAACTCTGAAGCTGACCGTTGAATGAGGAATCCCCGTTCCTTGCAGAACCCACAGCCCACACCCCAACCAAAAGGAGCAAACAAAAAATTACTCAAAAAATGTACAAAAAACAGGGGCAGCTGTTGTTATCCACCAGCCCATACCCCATAGCCCCCTCTTAGGAAACTGTTTTTGTTGCTGCTGTTTTGTTACCTTTTTGAATATTTATGAAAAATTGAAACGTTTTAGCGCGCTCGGCCTGGCACCTTTGCTGGATTTTTTGGTATTCTTTAGCCGCCTTCCTCGTTACCCTCTTTCTCCCCACTGCCCCTCCCGCCTCGTTGACTGCCTCGTTTGAAATGCTTGTTCCTTTTCTCGCTTGTTAACTAATTGTATTTTTTTTTTGTACATTTTTGTAGTGGGTATTTTTGTGTGGCCCACGCACAAAAATGATTTAAGTGCGCTTTCATTAATTACGTTTGAGATGGGTGGAAATTGAGGGAAAAACTGGGGTTAGCTCCGCTCGCTGGAGCATCCCCCAATGTATGCGAGGCTGTTGAAACTTTAATAGACCGAATTTCAGGATAATTAACACGCTAAGCGAATGAATGATGCATGAAGGAGGCGGCACATCCTCGCATCTCACCCAGATATCAGACCCTTTCTCGGTCTCGACTTGGCTAATAATTTCCAGCGCTTTAATTTAAACAAAGATTGAGCTAGTCACAGCCAACCCCCATCCATCATCATCATCATTATCATTATCATCATAATCTCATAAAATATCCTTACAGGTGGGGCAAAACGGTTGAGAGACCCGAATAGGACAAATATATGTATATTGGATGATACATATGTAACTCTGGTTAGTAGAACTGAGTTCTCACTCTTGAAGTGATGAACCCCTGAAAACTAAATTCCAAATTGAAATTTTGAAATTCGAGAAAGAAATGCTAGTGCTCGCTAAGGCTGTGGAAAATGGATGGAAAACATTCGGAGCGAAGACGGGACTCTACAGCCTTTCCTATAGTTCCTAAAATATGGACTTATCGTTTAATTAGTTTATTCGCATCAAGCATTCGCAGCATAAATTAAATTAAAAGTTATTGTTTCTTCTTTTTTGTTGTTTTGGGGACGACAAGGCACAGTCCTACCTCAGTGTAGGTGTTCTGCACAGATGTACAGATTCTTACAATAAATCGAAATCAATATCGTCTTCGAAGTCGTAGTCTTCCGCATCTCCGGCACTGAGTAGCAAACGGAATGTGGTATTTATCTGCCTGAGCAAGCGACGGAAGTCGGGATTCAGAGGATTGTAACGTAAGTCAACCAAATCCAAGCGGTCGCTCTCTATTGGCTGTTTTATGTTGAAACCTGCAAGGGAGGACGGAGGATCCATAAAGAGAATCGCACTCCTCTGCAATAACTTACTCGAAATTAAGTTGCCCTGAGCATAAAAATTGGTCAACTGAGGTAACTTGAAGACCACACTGGGCAATGTACTGAAGAAATTGCCCGCTATATTAAGAGTCTCCAAGGCTTGCAAATTGACCAGCTCTGTGGGTAGCATCGACAGCGAATTGTGGGATATATTGAGATCTGTATCGATTAGATATACAATGCGAGATGTACATATATTCATGTTAATTAGGCAGGTAATCTTGAATGATGCTCACAGATAAGTAAATGGAATTTCAAAGCCAATTGTGGTGGTATATCAAACAATATATTGAAGCTTAGGTCACACTCCTTAAGCTCAGCCGGGGATATCAAGTTGAAAACAGCAGAAGGAACATCAGTCAGATGGCTATGTTTGAGATCTGCAAGAAGGAAATTGCGATATAAATAAAATTATAAACTTTGTATCCTCAATAGAGTTACATACTTGAAAGCGCCACAAAACGCTGCACACGCGCACGTGAACTTTGTCGTAGCGGCAGGCGGGAGGAGGCAGAAGGCCTGATGGGAAAAAAAATTCAGCTATGCTATGCGATGCGATTTGCTCCCAAATGTGTTGCAAAATGCCGTTTTTCAATGCAAATATACACATGCACGCATGCATATGAGTAAGTATGTGCGTGTATGAATGTGTGCGTGAGCGGCTGTTGCAAAAACTTACCCAAAATTCCCGTCTCTTTAGCTTTCTCGCACTTCGAATACAGCGGATTCTCGTTGTCAATTGGGTTCATTTGATCCATTTTTAAAGTTTTCATTTAGATTATTGCTGTCCAATCAATTATAATTGGGTTAATTTCCAAATTTTGCAAGTGTGCGCTTGTGTTGCGAGGGCTGCCAAAACAGTACCAAAGAAGTTTTTTTTTTATCGCGACTCGCAGTTGTAGATGCAAATATTTGATCGGTGGTAGAGCTCCCCGATGTTCGTAGTATTTTATTGTTTCGTATGTACTTCAGAGCTCGACCCGAAAATAGTTTTATGAGAGTTTAAACAATTTGTGCCAGTCGATTGTGGCTATCAAAGCTACTGGCGCCATAAATGAGGTGACCGTTTACGGTAAAAAGTATTATATACTCTTTGGTATTTTTTGAAGTCGGACTATCAGTGGTTTGGCGAACATTAAAAGTACTTTAAGATTGAGCTTAGAACTAATTGCGAAGCCTCGTCAAAAAATAATGACCATTTGTTATATTGTCTTTGGTATGTGTGTCTTATGGACAACGAAAGAACGAATAATTATATATTCCGCGCGAGTTGGGAAAATACCATCGGTGGCTTTTTTAGTATCTATCGGCCTATCTTTTTCCGAGTTGCTAAGCTTTACGAAGAAATATTTAAATTTTACGTTAATGTTCTTTGGAGCGAGTCGCGAAGTTTCGAAGCCAATATCGATAGTTTCGGAGCCGATTGTATCTACGAAGTCACGATAGTAAGGTATGCACCATGGGCGTTCACCAGAACTCAAAACATGATGGATGAAATCTATCACTGAGCGATGATCAAGCATTCCTGGTGAACGCACCGCGCATTGATTAATTCATCAGATAAAACTATTTACATACATATTACATTAAAAGAGCAGCTAACTGAAATTTGACTGCGGGGCTAATACTCAAGTTTGGCACACTTTGTGCATGTGTATGTGAGTTTGAAAAGATATTTATATGTCTGCGAGCTGTTCCGTCTGAACTAAAAGCTGAACTGAAACAATACTCCTTGTCCTGAAGCAATGTTTGGAAATTGAACCAGTTAGTTTTATGTGTTTAGGAGTTTAGGTGTTGACAGAGAAAATGCGATAACTTAAATGGTTTGGTTTGGTTACTAATATACCCCTTAACTCTTTTTGAGTACGGGTATAAATATATCTATTAATTTTACCAAGCTTTAATTGACTAAATATTTCTATAAATATTTACTACATATGTATGTACATACATACATACATATGTAATTACAAACGTAATATAAATTTATAATTGCTTAATGGGGTCGGAAGCGCCCCACCCCCCCAAAAACATCATGTGAGCTTTCCTCCTATAACTAATTTCAATCAAATATTTCTTGAGCTTCCTCTCTATTTCAGTATAAGCATCAGTGTCAATGTCTTGGGATGTCTGGGGACTTCTGGGCTTTTCCTTGTCTCCCAGCTAACCTGTCAAGTGTCACGTGTGGCTTTTCATTAACCGAGTATATGTGGATAGCTACAAAGTCTCCAGGAAGGAAAAAGTTAAAATTCGGATGGGAAACTTTTTGTTGATAGGCGGAACGAGAAAGCGGAGGGGGAAGATAGAAAGTGTCAAGTTATTTGCCTTTCCTCTTAACAAACTAATTGATCTCAACGGGGCCGATTAGGAAGGCGAACTAAATTGATAGTTTTAGGGCTGAAACTTTGTTGTAAGCATCTGCAGATATTCACACACTCGCGTACATATGATATGTACTTGCATACATAGGTACACGTATGTACATACATTTATACAAGTTTAGTTGTGCTCAAAATAATATACAAGCAGAGAGTATTGAAAGAACAATTATGAACAGAAAAAGCCAAATAAATGTTCTAGAACGCAAAGGAAAAAGAACACTGTTTTTTTTTAATGTCAACGCTGAATTATGGTAATGCTGTCCGTAACTCTTATATACTACTGCTGGAATCTGGAGACTGACTTAAGGAGTTTACGTTTATATTGGCGTTTGCCAGGATCACCAGAGGTCAGTGATGGATGTGTTTTATTGTTTTTATCGCTTGGCTGCTGCCTTGGCACTGCCTTTGAGCTGAGTCCATGATTCTGCTCAACTTTGCTTTATTTTGTTTTATATTATTTTATTTTATTTTTTTTTTTCCCTCTTTGCAGCTTCTGCTGCTGTGGGCCTTCTGGCCTGGCACTGGTTTAAGCCAAATTCTGCATAAAAAGGCAACAACAAACGCCATGAATACCAACAGCAAGAGTGCCAGCACCAGTGTCAAACAACTCGAGCCGAAAAGCTCAAAGAGCAACATTGGAGAGGAGGCATGAAAGGAGAAAAAGGCCACGATAGTCTTAAGGGGCTGTCTTAGACGATATTTAAGTGATATGAATTTTAATAAAATATCGTAGCCCTGAAGAATGCAGAATGTTTGTTCTTATCAGCCTGTGTTATAATTAAAACATAAACAATAAACAAGCAAGTAAATGGGCAAATAAAATGTGCAGTAACTAGTTTAACTATCGACTGACGTCATATCGTTCTCGTACATTATAGTGTTGCAAAATGTTCTGTCACCGAACCAGGCGTGGACAAAACTTTAATTAAATAATTCAGAGCTGTAACAAATAAAGAATAAAATAGAAATTCGTACAGCGGGCATATGAATAGGTGCAGCAATTTCAATTTAATTTCACTGACTATCGACTGTATCGGGTAACCAAAAACGCTGTCAAGTGTTGTAGTGCTCAAAACCTTTTGAACCATTTGGTGGAGCAGCGCTCGCTGTGGCGCAAAGCCCCGCTCTTCGGATTTGACGCGAGGCCAAAAGAGGACAAAGACAAAGGAAAGAAATGTATTTCCTTTGGGATTGCACCGTGCCTGGCGAAGAGTATACGCCATGGACAAATGCTCGATACGGCCTTGAACTGACTTTCGACACCACTAATATTCTGCCTTCGGTGCGCTTCATCGACGAGATTTTCCACCCCAACATCAATCGTTTTTACTCCATGACGTTGAGGTGCAAGAACATTGTGGGGAATCCTCACGGCATAAAGGATATTCTTAGGAGCATACAGCGCCTGCTTAGCCAGCCCGACTTGTCGGAAGCCACCAACTGGAAAGCCGGACAAATGTTTGTATCAAACCAAAATTTGTATGATTCCCAGACGCGTCTGCTGGCTCGTCAATTAGCAAGCAAGGAAGAGGAAGGAACCAATCGAAACAGCTAAGATCAGCTTAAAAATTAAATAACTAAAAATTAAACTGTAATTAACACTGCTGCTGGCTCTAAACACACACATGCACATACACTTTGTTGAAAACACAAGAATAATTATACACATTTACACATGCAAAGGCAAGGTAATGTGAGTCCAACGCAATGATTGAGATTAAATAAACAGTTTTTCTCCTTAAACCAGAATCCCAATGCCGTTGTTGATTAGGAAAGTATTTAGAACTCTTTGCAAACCGTTCTGGGGCAGAACTCTGTATATTGATATGCGAGTATTATGTGAACATTCCAATTAAAAAGTCAGCAGAATCGTGCACAACGTAAAAAAGGATTTCATAAGGAAACAATATTGTATGAACAAGTTTCAGATGGTCTTCCCTTCCCTTCTTCTCATCTCGTATAGAGATTGATGGATTGATTGATTAAACCTCTCCCAAGAGCTGTTCGAGTGTCTAAAGTGACTAAATGGCCTTTGCGGAATTATCTATTCTTAGGCCACAATCACTCAAGTTGGGAAGTGGGTCGGAGAACGTCTGGGGAGTGTGCAGACAAATGACTTAATTACTTTTTCAAAGTCAGTTAATTAGTGTTGGCCAGGGGCAGCAGCAGCAGCAGACCAAATGAAAATGGTCAACGGACGATGACATAATAGTCGGCTAAGATGGGGAAAATGAGTTACCAGTCAGAAGCGGAACGTATGTAAGTGGGAGTCAAAAAGTAGAGCATAAATTACAAGAAATCGAAGGGGTCTGCCCTGGACCGTCGCTCTGACCCCGAGTTCAACATTTATTGATGCTATTAACACTGTTAAGCCGTCCCCCACTCAGCTTAATGTGTCTTTTGTCCCTTGTCCAAAGACAGTCCACAAAACATAGCCATGCCCGAGCGGACAGTGGGCCACAAGTACCTGTACCCTCTACCCTGTACCCTCTACCCTGTACCCTCTACCCTGTACATGCCATGGGGTTATTGAAATCAAATTTAATTGTGCTGAAAAGCTTTCAATTACTTGCAAATCACAATTTATGACTTTATTTCATTAAAAAACTACGATAGCTTTTTTGCCGATGCATGCAAATTGTTCAATTAAATAAAAATAAATGTAAGTGCATACATACATACATTATGTATGTATGTGTAAATATGAATATTATATTATTCGAGAATTTCATTTATCACTCATTTGTTGAATAGTTTTCACTGTTTTCAATATTCCCAATGGAATTTATCCACTCTAGGACCCATTGTGAGGAGCCCTCGCTGTATTTGAATCAAAAGCAGAAAAACGTGAAATACAATTGTATGCATAAATGAATACAACTTATCGATGGCAGTGGGAGTTATTGGAGTAGTTTGTTGTGGGGTTTTCCTTGTACAGATACCCTTAAAGGCAGTACCTACACTTCTTTACAATAAGTGAGTACGATGGATCTGCAAGGGTATCTAGCGCTGCGGCCTCTGAAGCTAGTATATATCTGCTTTATTTTTCGTTGGCTCTTTTCCCTTCGATTGTTTTTCCGCATTAACGCTCTGCCCTTGCCCCTCAGCATAATGGAGTTGGCGAACGAGATTGGATAGGTTCAGGGAGCAGAGGTTTTTATGCTGGCATCGCGTGTTTTATGATACAATTAAATGGCCGCTATGCGAGCCTTCAGCTACAGATACAGCTTCAGCTTCAGCTTCAGCATTGAGTTCAAATTAATTTCTTGCCATCTTCAAATTACTCATACGACCCATGGCCATGGCTGACCTCCCTCCCACCCTTATACATTTGCTCAAGCTGAGCTCCAACTACTGCTAGTCTGTGTCATTTACATTAACCGTTTCAGTTTCAGCTACAGTTACAGGCAACAGCTTCGACTGCAGCTGCAGCTACAGCTCCAGTTCTGAATACCGCTCTCTAGGTGGCTCCCTCTTTTTTGGTCCAGGGGCGGGGCTGGGATACTTGGCGAGAACTGTTGCCGGAAGCGAGCGTTCGTAAATTACGTGAATAATGCAAAATAACAATATTTACTCATTGTTCTCACTCGCCCCGCTCTTTACCCTCCCCACTCCCGCTGCCATGCACCCAGTAGGTGCCTTTTTTTTTTGGGTATATTCTGCAAAATACTTTCTGCTCGAGTGTTGATAATCTCCATGGCATTAAATGGGATTTATATTATCCGAAACAAAAGATAACTTAAATACCATTTTTACCGGGGAATTAAAGTAATAGACGGGACGGGAAAGAAATTTTGCACAAATGAGCCAATACAAAAAATTAAACCATGCCAAGTAAGCATCGCAAAATTGCAGTTAAAGTTAAACTAAAAAAAATAGCCTGAAGATTACCGAAAGTAAGTTTAAATGAAGCTCATTCAAATATTGAGAGGTGAAGAATGTAAGCTTAGCTTGAGCTTCAGCAAAGGTTAGCTGAGCAACAATTTTGACAGAATTCGCTCAGGGGAAAGGATAAAAGGATTTATACCGAATCCGAATCCGAATACTGTATGAAACTAGGCAGATTTATGAATTAAAAAAAGCAAAATACAAAAACCAACAATGCAAAACCGAAGATAAATGTTTGCTTCTTTTTGCAGCCAATAAAATAAATGCTGTTTGCATCTGAAAATAAATAAAATAAAAGTAATAAAAATTTTAGAATATATTTCAGATTTATATCGAAATGAAGCTTTGATTTAATTCAACTTGGATATTGTGCAGCTGCTTTATGGATCTGACTAGGAGTGTATTTTTATCTTACAGACATCCGCAGCACTCTCCATTTTCCGATATAAGTGTACATATATAAACTTAAAATATACATATACATATGTACTTTACTGATAAATGATGGTGTTCATTATGTGCGGCGCGTCTCTTGCGATTTAATTAAAGCCCAACTGGAGCGCAAGAGCCAATGGACTGGGGGGAATGGGGTTTGTGGATTGGTGCTGTCTGTTGATTGCTTCGCATGTTGGCTAGCGATTTTTCAGCAGCTTTCAGCAGACAAGAAAAATTGTGAGTTGGAGATGGAGATGGAGATGTAGATGGTAATGGAAATGGAGAGGCATCATCCCCATCCCCATGCACATCCCCATGATCATCATCATCGATGGATTGCCGGTGCCATTAAATGGCCTGATGATGCCGACCGATTGCTTACCCTCAGCCACGCCCCCGTATGGCCAGTCTGTCCGTCTGTCTGGATGTCTGTCCCATTCTCTTGGTTCCTGATGTTGCACACGTTCCAGTTTGTTGCTGCCATCGTGCACGTAATTTCCGTTTCCGTTTCAGCGAACGGCAGCCGGTGACACGCGACAGCTGTTTGCACATACTTAACGCACACGCACACGCGTGGGGAGGCACAGATACACAGATACTTACACACATTGGTAGGCTTACATGCCTGTATTTGTGTTACTATGCCATTGACTGCGAATCGGAGCGTGAAGGCCATTACAAGTCTGATTATATTAAACCAAAGATTCAATATTTAAAATTGCGCGCACACACAACTCATTCCCGCATCACCCGGACCACCCGCATCACCCGCATCACCCCTCTTTCAACAACATTCATCGTCACTTCCGGTCCATGCTAACTGTTTTTGCGGCAACAGAGAGACCGGTACATACAAATATTATATGGGTAAATGTTTGGCTGTGCCTCTCTCCTTTCCACTCCTTTCATTCCGAGTCAAGCTGGGCGGGGAGGGTGAGTGTGGGCTAGGTTCCTGGGGCTATGTGATGAATTCAAACGGAATGCGCAATTTTAAATTATTGTTCAAGCAAAGCGAAGTCAATAACAATTGCTGAACAATTTGGTTGACTTTTTGCTACCCTCTTTTCATTTTTTTGTATTCATCCAGTGATACCACGATGGCAAATGAAGGGTGGAGAAAGCGTCAACTGGGGCATAGAGGGAAAATAAATGTATTTTAATAGATGAAAGATACGTACACAAGTAATGAACTCATACCTCTAGAGTCTAGAAACATGATCAAAATCAGGCGATTGGGATTACAATTTACAGCAGGCCATTTGTAGATCAGAAGCAACCTTTGAAACAGTCCAACGGATATCGCCTGGGAAATATTCAATTTTCTGGTAGTCTTCCCAGACCCATTTATTCCCTGACAGAAAATGTCCAATCCCTAAATTGTTGCTAAAAATTATAAATAACAAATTATTTGTGCAATTTTCAGTGCTGTGCTTTCGTGACGTAGTAAAAGCCGTTCACGTAGGAGATTGGTAGGTGCCAAGATTATAAATTAATCCATTGAATAATTGATGAATTCCATTCCTGATCAGCGGTCCGGGAGAGGCCAGAGAGGGGACTCTGCAGCTCCTGATGTATGACATTTCAGGCAAAGTTTCCCTGTCCGTCAATGTCTCCCAGCAGCACAGGAAGGGTTCGGTCGGCGTGTCCTCTTGGAAATGAGCAACTAGACGAGTGCAGAGATCAACAGCTCCATCGCGGGTATTGGAGCTCTAAATTTATTCATTTACTGGATTCGCCAGAAATTAACAAAAACAAAATGTGAGTGGTGTGGTGTGGTGTGGTGTCAGGGGTGCCTGAAATTAATCAAATGAAAACGAGAAAGAGGTCTGCAAATGTGTCTCTGAATGCGTCTGAATATTCCATGTGCACATTTATGCCATGCTTGCCACTTGACTTCACGCTTTAATATTTTGCGCTTTTCGGTCTGTTTTCATTTTGCAGGTGAGATAATATGCCGATGGAGAGAGTCGAGCTGCTACCCTCCGAAGGAGAAATCATTATTGTGGATAAGAAAATCGCCAATCGTCTGGGAGGAGAATCTGTTCTTTATGAATATTAGATAATTGATTTTGCGCAAGATTATTTTGTGGTCATACTACCACAAGGATCCCCAACCCAAGTTCGATAAGGACAACAAAACTGGGTACCGGACATTCTTCGAAGTGGATCGGGAGACTCTCGATTAACTGGTGGAGGCAGCCGGCTGCCTGCACCTACCGAGTCTGCCAATATATCCGGGGCCCTCATACTAATTAGGGAGTGCACAATCCTTCAGACATGAACCGAATTACATGCACAACGATCCCTGAATACTCGCATACCCTGTGGTATAGTGTGGTGTGTGCACTAGTCCCTGTATTGAAGTACTATTCAACCACCAGCTACAGCTTTGGCAAGTGCGGTCCCCCTGCGGTGCGTAGAAGAGAACCCTCACGAGCCACACAATTATGGTCGGTGATTATGATTTTTCCACGCTGATCGGATCCTACCACTTGGATGTCTGGCTTAAAATGCTTTACCTTTGCAATTGCCTCTGCTAAAGCCAAGCACTTGGGCAAGATAAATTTAAATGTATTTAAATGGTTTGCCATTTGGTTTATTGGGAAACATTGGGACAGAAAAAATGGAGCAGCGTGTGGCAATGTGGATTTACAGATCCGGGACTGGTGAGGGGCTTCGCCAGCTACTTTAAGCGGTTGATCTTGAAGGCGAAGCGCGTCCACAGAATGCAGAAAGCTGTGAGGAACATCAATTTGGGATTGGATGAGAATTGCTTGACACTTGTTAAGGTTCGTGGCGGATCCGCTCCTTAAATAGTTCCGTCAACCCAAAGAAACGCTCGAGCAGCGTCTCGTTGGGCTCAACATCGAAGCTCTCATTGTCATTGTCATAGTCCATTGTCTCTTGTAAAATGCTGTAAACACTTTTGTAAAAATAACAATTTGAGAGCATTGCCAGACAATATTCTGAAAAGCGTCTGCTTAAAAATAATTTTACACTTTGGGCAACTTTAAGTGACTAAATTCAGGGGAATATCCGCCGTTTCCTACACCACAGGGCCAGGGGCGCTGCATGTGCTCAACGAGATTGCGTATACGACTTGGGGACGCAATCTCAAAGAGCTCTAATCGGGAGGGGCTATGGGCGGTGACATCGGTAATGATTTATTGTAAAACATTTACTATTCATTGACTAGTGGGATTTTGTGAAGTGGGAAGTTACATTACATTACTTCCTAGTGACTCCACTTCCTATTCGTCTTGAAGAATCGCGCTAATCAGACGCTGCAAGGAATCCTCATCCTCCTCCGCCTCTTTATCGACCAAAGATTCAGCGACTTTCTTCACAGCGGGGGACTCATCCCCATCCTTCTCCAGCTGCAGGCTGGCCAGCCTGGAACGTTTGGTGCGTTTGCCAGCATCGCGACGGCACTTGCGTGCCTTCGTATTGGACTTGGTCTTGGGCTTCCCCTTCCCCTTCCCCTTGGCCTTAGTCTTCGCCTCTACTTCGGTGTGCTCTCGTGCCTGGTGCTTGGACAGATTCTGGGCACTGCTGAAGCTGCGTCCGCAGTCGATGGCCGGACACTCGAAGCGCCTGCCGAAGTGCACCGCCAGTCGGTGTTGGCGCAAACTACGCGCATAAGAATAGGAGCGAGAGCAGCCCGCCTCGGTGCATGCAAACGGCCCCACACTGCGCTTGTGCTTGGCCTCCATGTGCAGCCTGAGATCGCTGGGCTTGTCGTAGCTGTTCTCGCAGCGCGGGCACTTCCGGCTCCTGTTGCGCTTGCGCCCGTGCATCGTCTCGTGGCAATGCTTCATGAAGAGCGACCGCTTGACGAACTGGAGGTCACAGCCGGGGCAGGAGTACAGCCGGCAGCTGCTCTGATGGCTCTCCCGATGCCACTCCAGGTAGAAGCCGCGGCTGCACTTGCTGCAGCGATAGGGATACTCATTGGTGTGCTGCTGGATCCCGTGTGCCTCGCGCACATGCCGCTGCATGCTGCTGCCGGAGCTGAACGTCTTGCTGCACTCCATCACCGAGCATTTGGCGCTCTTCTGTGTCGCCTCCCCCGATCGCTCGTGGCCGCCGCCGCTACGCAGATGCCACTTCACAATTAGGTAGCTCTTGTCGCAGCCCTCGAACGAACAGGCACGCCCCTTCTGCAATACCAATAGTTATGCTAACTAATTTGTGGTTGAATTGCCATTAGTTATTCGCAGTTACGTTGCCCGTGTGGCCGCATTTTTGAGTGCCCGTGCCTGTGTCTCTGCCACCAGTGCTGCGCCGCTCCATCTTCGGCTTGAACTCTTCCAGCGCATCATCCGGGTCACCGTCCCCGCCAATATTCATCTCTGGGGCCATTTTTCAACCTGCCAAATGCCAAGTGCCAAATGCCAAACTACAATTAATATTAAATAATTTTTCTCGGCAAAAACCAAGGATGGCAAAAACTTATCTTCGACTCAATAATCGGCAGACTGGACTTCGAGGCGATGCATCGAATGTGACCATATTTCCACATTTTGCAACACTGCTGCGCTGCTCGAGAAATTGCCTCATTTATATCTGGCATTAAGGCGCGCACCCAGCAATAGTCTGCACAAAAATTCAACGCTGATCCATATGAGAATATCCTTGGGGTCCGTGCCCAAGTTGCCTCACAACACCTGAGCCAAAGTGCTTGCCCGGGAGTGGAATTTGTGGGTCTCGCCATTGCAGTGCCCCTTCCAGTGCTCCTACACGCGCCTGCTCTGTCGAGAGCTTCTTCAGTACAGCACAAGTACAGTACGCCAAATATATATCTCTTCTGGCAAGCTCCCTCTGCGAATCACTTCAGCATTTCAGGCAGTGGACTTCCTGCCCAGGTACAGATACGTGGTGCATCACCGTCGTCGCCTTGCCACTACATTTGCACCTATGTATATGCTGCAGGGTTGGAAATGATCTTATTTGTGGAGCTGGACTCTAACTTGTCACAGTGGCTGTGTGGCTGTTCATACGGCTTCCTGCATGCCACAGATTCTTCGCGTTGAACCACGTTGACTGACCCATATGTCCCTCGTCGTTGTGGAGTTCGTCTTTGCTTTGAAGCTTCATAGAATGTGCTCCACAGCTATTAACGATCTATTTTTGCAGCAATCTGGGCCATTACGTATCCTAAAATGCCACAAGAGAGTACTTTAAATGGACTGAAAGCCAGCGAGAGGTCTAAAGTCTTGGGAATTCGGCCACACGTTATCGGACAATCCAATTTAATTTGCAGAATGGATTTCGCACCTGGGGGACACAACGATCCCTGGCAGCAGTGTCGAAGCTCTAACCGTGATGGTCGAATTTCTTACAAATAAGAAGCTTTTCTTCATATGAATCTCGTGATATCAATGCCATGGAACTTCTTTTTTGTTTTTTAATGTTTTCAGATAAAGATGTCTATTAATTAAGAGAGAAAATGTTCTAAAAATTCTGTTCGGGCCAGCGGCTATTTAAGCGTCTATTTCTTAATATTAAATGTAGATGTACCTATTTGTATAAGAGTAACGAAACCTAAACTTAGTTATGTCTCCAGAATTCGGCAGTGCTGCTGCGCTCTCCCTGTTAAAGGGCGCTCTGCACCTGCCGCTTCGGCTCTTGCTTTGATCGGCCGTCGAGGCCTAAGTTAGTTCTATGCTTATCTCTCGCCGCATATTTTGCATACCGAACCCCCTCTTGTGCACATTTATCTGGCCGGGCAAAAGAGCGAGCAATTGGCTTCAGCTATCCGCCGGTATAAATAAATATTAAAACGTTGTAAATAGAAAGTCTTTTAACTGATTTTGGATGGATATAGGTGCCAAAAAAGCTTGGCATCTCAAACATATTCTACATGTGTCCTACAGAAGCCACTTTCAATTTTACCAATTTAGAGTCATGGGCGGGTTCAATAGGTCGCTGCCTTCCAAAGCGTTTCTGGCAGCCTCTTATCTAGCTCGAGTTCTGGTCACACATCGTTCCCGTTGAAACCACAACGAGACTGTGGCATGGCGAGACCCTTCAGTCGGTGCCCAGTCGAGTCCAAGCCATATCGAATTGGAATCGCGTCTTCCTTTGCTGTACTTCAACCGTGAGCAATTCTCTACTCTACTCTGCTTCAAATTTGAGCTGTACATTTGCCTGGCATGGGAGTTAATGATTTCAGAAGTGAAGGTGATAATTTGGTGCGTTCTTTGGAAATCATTTAATTGTTGTCTCTGCTGTGTGTGTGTGTGTGTGTGTGTGTGTGTGTGTGTGTGTTCATAAGCACCCAAGACACAAACAAAACAATTGCCATTTAATCGCAGTGAAAACGAACTTTTCTGGGCTCTTCACTGATGGAATTTAATTACACAACTGTGGGGTGGTGGTGTTGGCGCTGCTGCAGTTGGGGTGGGGGGAAGGGGGATGGTGAAGAGTGCTAAGCAATAAGGATATGCCGGAAGGGGGTTCCCACAATCAGCTCGACAAGCTCTGGCTGGATGCCCGCCTGGGATGTTTGACTGGCGGCTTAACACGCCAAAAATTGTAAGCCAAAGGCATGACAGAGAGAGACAGAGACAGCGAGACTGCGACAGCGACAGCGACAGAGCTGATGTAATTACACTTACACATGTGTGTGTGTGTGTAAGAGAGAGTGAGAAACAGTGAGAGAGATTACCGTTGTTGTTATTGTAAATGTTATTTTTATTTGCACGTCAACCGCAAAAACTCATCCAGCCCGAAATTGAAGTAAAAACAAGGCTTAAACATCTTAAGGCAGCTCATTGTTGGGGCTTGCAAAATGATGACAACGCTTGAGGTTTTTGCTGCGGCTGGGGGTTGGAGATGGGCTCGGGTAGGGGTTCCTTGCTCTGGCCACGGATACACGCGAGCTTGAAGTCACGAAAACGAAAGTAAAGGAGCCCGAAAAGCGCACAGGAAAGGCACAGGACAAGTAAGAGAACAATTTCTACGAGAATATTCTACATACATATGTATATATATATTTTCAGAGCCTTTGCAGAGCGAGTAATGGAGCATTCCCCCAGCCAATTAGCAAATATGTGACTAGTAGCTAAGACTTAAATCGGGGTACCATACTCGTACTCGTACTCGTACTCGTATCGTTCAGCTGTAATAAGATGGAATAGGTTCGATCCTTGGTTAATATCTTCGCGGGTTTCGGCAGCTTTTATAGGACTGTTAAGTGCCTGTTAATGACACGACTTTAAGTAAGTTTTATGCCTAGTTTTTTTGTTCTTTAATTCATTGCAGAATCTTTCAGGGGCACGCACCAACAGCTTAGCTATTATGCCACATCTCCAGTTGTCTGTCTCCGGTCCGTTCTTTGCCCCCAGTCTCTCACCCTCTCTCACTCTGTCGATTTGTGTACCACCAGCCTTTCCATTTTCATTTCCATTTCCCTTTCTTTTCATTCCATTCTTCTTTTGCATTTCGGTTGTAATTGTTTGTTTGTTTATTTAGCCTGCCACCTGCCTGCCAGCAGATTAGCAGCAGGATTTGATGAGCACACGCTGTGCGCCAAGGGAGAAGGAGAATGAGGGATCCAGCTCCGGCTCCAGCTCCAGCTCCAGCGGAAGACAGCACCAAAGCACCAAGACACACCGGAGAGACGGCGGGAGAGAGCTGCTAGAAATATTGCGCCAGCTAAAATAATTCACTGCAATTATATGCGAATGCTGGAACCTTCCTGTCCGTTTCGAGTGTTTGCTCAACTGTTTAACTACCCGCAGAAACCGAGCGACGATATGCAAAGAGCTTGCCCGCGTGCATGCGACGTGCTCCATACCCTGGCCAATCGCTGCAAGTAGGAGAATATCTGATCATAAAAAAAATTGTACATACACCGATAGAAAAAAGCCCTGAAATTTTAATATTTTCACTTAGATTTTAATATTTATGCCATTGATTTTCATTCAAGAGTGGTTGTATTAAAATTGAATATTTTTCACTTAAATTTTCATATTAATATAGAAGTATTTAAATTTAAAATATTTCATATTTAAATTTAATATGTTTCATCTTTAAATTTAATATGTTTCATATTTAAATTTAATATGTTTTATATTCAAATTTAATATGTTTCATATTTAATGTTAATATGCTTCATATTTAAATTTAATATGTTTAATATTTAAATCTAATATGTTTCATATTTATATTAATATTAATTTTTAACTAATTGGTTATTATTTTGCGTACGCAAATTACATTTCAAGTTCTCATGGTGTGAATTGGTTAAAGTTTTCAACTAGAAATAATCGCAACATGAGTAGGACTGCATTGGTTGTGATTATGCCCCTGCGCTAAGATAATTTTACTGTGCATTCAAGGCAGCAGCAGCTGGACCTAGTTGGGAATTCGAGGGACATCAAAAAATAATATAAACATAGTTAAAATAGATACAAAAAATATTTGATTTCATTTAATATGGAATATTTAAAATAAAAAGTTTTTCCTTTGGATTTTAAAAGAAAAATTTTGAAATCAAGTCATAATAATATTCAATTTAAATATGAAACATATTAAACTACAAATGTAATATATTATAGTTATTTTGAAGTGTTTTGTATTTAGATTAAATATGACCGTATTAAAAAAGCATGTTTAATACATTTATATTTGAATCAAAGTGAATTCTATTAAATTTTACTATGTTTGTATTTAAAAATGGCATTTTAAATTCAAATATGATTGTAGTTATTTTTACTATGCCTTTTTTCTATCAGTGTACTTATATATATCTAGTTATATATTACTCACAATGTATCGTCATGACATTCCGTCGTGGCAAGCCATACCCTTTTGTCTGCAATAAAACGCCTTTACAAAATTACTGACTGCCAATTATCTTCGTACCCAATCTGTGTTATAACTCCCACATGTCCGCTATTTCGAATAAAGTTAGAGGGGTCCTGGGCGCTATCAAAAGATGGTCTAAGCAGTTCACCGACCCTTATACCACTAAACTTTTCATACGATACGTATCCCTTGTCCGGCCCACCCTTGAACTTGGTTCCTGCGTTTAGTCTCCGCATTATCAAAAATATCACGATTTGATTGAGTCCGTTCAAAAACAGTTTCTCCTTTTTGCACTTCGTGGCCTTCATTGGGACCCCTCTAGACATCTTCCTTCTTGTGAGAGAAGGCTCCGGCTCCTCGATATCCGCTCTCTCGAAAGCCGCAGGATTTGCCATGGAGTTCTTTTTCTTCACAAACTTCTCGCTGGTGAGGTTGATTCCACTGCCCTCAGTCGCCGCATTAGCATCTCTGTTCCTTCCCGCCCGACTAGGCATTACTTTCCGCTTCATCTTCAGCTCTGTCGTTCTAATTACTTTGCCGTAACTACAATACCGTCTTCCATCTGTTTTCCTTCGACTCTAGTTCCATCAAGGTAAAATCTAGGTTAACAAATAATTTAAATTAATTGAATCTTAACCTAATAGGCTAAAGGCTATTTCCTGACTACAACTTTCCTGTTGGCTACTTGAGCCAATAAATTAGTCCTATTGGGCCAGAGAATAGCCATAGTCTGGTGATTCATGTTTTTCTCATGCTTTACTTTATTTTCGTTAGTTTAACTGCTCATAGTTGAACCTTAGAAAATAAATACAAACACAAATACATTTACGAGTATGTCTACTTATTGAATCAATATTGAGTCTCGTCTCTGAGTGTCTCTGTCTCCAATTAGTCAGCTATTCTTCATTTGCTGCTGCTCTGCTTTTGTTCTTTTGAATTCGGCCATTGTCCCTGCTACCCTGTAATGACAGTGGGGTGTAGGGGAAGGGGTAGGTATAACCGTTTAAGCTTGGCGCATTCATAAACCTTTTTCCTGCTCGACGTTTCCTTTTTCTTTTTCGGCAATTTGGTGTAATTGAAAAGCGCTGAGCGGCTTGGAATTCTGCAATGCCGAAACAGGGAAATAGGGGCGTGAGAGCGAGATTGATGGTAGAAAGGTAGCCAGGTAGCCAGGTAGCCAGGTAGCACTGGGAAGGGTGGAGTGGTGAGCGGGAAGGGGGAAGTGGGTGTGAGGCAAAGGACAGAAGGCAAAGCAGCAAAATAAAATCAGGGAGCAGGGCGCAAGGCGCAAGGGCGAGCATTGGCAAAGTTTACTTATCATGGCAATGCCGCCATATCCGCTTGGTAATCGAAATTTCCAAAATGGGGATATAGGAGGGATATGTATGTGCACACCCACACAGACACCCACAGACAGCATGCACGCATACTAATACCGCCTGGAAGGGTGTGGTGTTTAGCAGGTGTTCGTTGTGTCCCCCGATTCCCGTCTGAAATATTCATTTGCATCTGGAGGAAATTGTTTTGGTTTCAATTTTTCTCGCATCTTTCTTCTGCTTCGATTTTGGGGCCTGGATGAGATGCTTCGAAAGGATTTTAAAATTCTCTTTAAAAGTGAAAATCATGGCCGATGTTCTCATGAAGACAAAACAGTGAGAGATAGAGAGTGAGAGAGCGGGAAAGAA